TAATGTATGTATGTTGTATTTCTCGCATTGTGATAAAAAAACGGCATAATTATGGTGTGGATGATGTAATCAATGACGTCACCTTGCTTTAAAAGTAATTGGTTTTAATATCTATAAATTTAATCTAATGTTTTAAAAATTATTTATGGCTGTTAAATATTAAAATACAATTTAATTTTGCATTTTTTTAAAATGATTTTATTATGTATGATTATTTAAATAGTTTTAATTCTAGGCGTGATATAATCAGTTCTCTGATTGGTTATGGAATATTTGTGCATTAACGAGCTGTAATCCGCTCCCTGGTTGGTTACTGAATGTTTGTGCATTATCGCGCCATTTTTAAATTTTATTATTCGTCTCTTAGAATTCCTTACATTTCATAGAAAACGGATATATCCCTTTCAAAGATTAATGTTGTTAAGTACCAAGAATTATTGGTATCGGAATCAAAAAATAATCCTTTGAGACCTTATTTTGACCAACCTGGCTTTCCTAATCAAACATTTATTTATAAATTATTACAAGGGTCAGAGGAAATTTATTTTAAATTTTTGGAGGAAACTTCGCTAATTGCTTCTTCAATGAAGTGCGGGAAATGTGGATCACAGACGAATATCGTTAAAAGAGCCGATTCTGAGGACGGTCGTGTATGGTATTGTGGTTCACGGTGAAAGAAATAACCCCTGTAACGGTAAAAAAAGTATTAAACATTCCTCCTTTTTTACCGGCAGTAAAATTCTAATTGCTGTCATTTTAGCTCTAGTATACGAAGCGTTCTTATTTACTTATTTTAAAGTATTTGAATTTAAGGAATTTTTATAGTTTTTAATTCGATATTCAGTTTAAGTAATATTTTAATCCAATTAAACGTTGGCGCAATGTTTTTATTCTATTTCATAGCTATATGAAAGTAATAATTTGACCTTACTTTAGTATTTTATACTCGTAGTAAATGTATTTATTTACATTTGCCTGCCATCTTAAAAAACAACGTTTTTAACAAAAAATTAATCCATTATTTTTAACAATATTTATTTTTTTTTTAAGTTTCGAATACTTTACTATGGACAAAATACGTAAATACAGCGTTTTTCAAGATGGCTGACGATTGTTAAAACCACGCCAACAATTGCGCCAAAGTAAATCGCCAAAAATCCGTGCAACCGTCTACCAAAGTAGCACCTTTTTAATTCGATATTCAGTTTCAGTAATATTTTAATCCAATTAAACGTTGGCTCAATATTTTTATAGCGGTGTTTTTATTCTAATTTTTTGCTATATGGAAGTAATAATTTAACCTTACTTCAGTATTTTATCCTCGTAGTAAATGTATTTAGTTACATTTGCCTGCCATCTTAAAAAACGACGTTTTTAACAAATAATCAAACCATTATTTTTAAAGTTTCGAATACTTTACGATGCGTAAAATACGTAAAAACAGTGTTTTTCAAGATGGCTGACGATTGCAAAAACCACGCCAACAATTGCCCCAACGTAAATCGCCAAAAATCCGTGCAACCGTCTACCAAAGTAGCACCTTTGAATGATCTGTCTGCAGTGATTCTGTCTGATGCTGTTGTCATTCAAGCCTAGCATGTTTTTTTATATTTTCTCTTTTAATTAAGTGTATTTTTAGCAAAGGTCTTTTCATGATGCTCTATTACTTTTTATAAGGAATAAAAGTAAGTGCAATTCAAAATAAAATAATTCCCTTTCTTAATGCAACAAGTGAGTTCATGTTTTATCAGGCATACATTTTGTTTTGTATAACTTTGATTTTCCTTTACATATTTTGAATAAAATATTTTAATGGCATCCTTATTATTTTTCCTGGGTAATATTTGTAATTCTGTAGAATGCGCACCTTTTAAATAAAAGCCTTATCATTACCATCTATTTATACTTTGCCTAAATAGTATTTGCCATTCTATAGAATGCCCAGGTATTAACTTTCAATGTTAGGGAAAATATATGCATATTCAAATAACTCTCATATTTCATGTTTTGCCTAAAAATGACTAGGCATTATACAGAGGGCCAGCATTTGCTACATCAAGTAATAAAAGGGTTATTTAATGATTAAAATTTACACCTTAAATAAAAGCCTTATCATTACCATCTATTCATACTTTGCCTAAATAGCATTTGCCATTCTATAGAATGCCCAGGTATTAACTTTCAATGCTAGGGAAAATATATGCATATTCAAATAACTCTCATATTTCATGATTTGCCTAAAATGACTAGGCATTATACAGAAGGCCAGCATTTGCTACATCAAGTAATAAAAGGGTTATTTAATGATTAAAATTTGCACCTTAAATTTTTACAGTGTTTTTTTCTTTTGATTTGATGATAACACGGATTCACAGAAATCAGCAGTTTTGCGATCTTTTTGAAAAAATACACACGCTATGAGATCAAAATAAATTTTCTTAGAGTTAGATAATTTAAGGCAAAAATAATAGATCTGTTTTATTATACATCTTACGTAGCTGAGTGCATGTTGGTTCTGTGCACGAAATCACGTCAAAAGGCGAAAAAAAAGTTTTTATAATGTTTAAATAAAGAAAACAACACTATACAATTGACTAGTTTATTGTGCCCAGGTGTATTAGAAAAATGATGATGATTACAATGAAACTATATCGATTGCGGCATCTTGCAAAGAATAAAATTTAATATATGATTTCAAGAAGTACACATTTCATTTAGAAGCATTTTTATTCATAATTTGTTCAATATATATATATATTTTTTTTCTTACGATGTTGAAGCCATATGACGAAATACCGAATAATTTTTATATGCTTTTAGTAATGTAAACTTTAGCATAAATACATAAATGAAGAATATTAAATGATTTGGAAATTGTAAATAAGAAATGTTTAAATGGAAACATGTTTCAATTTTCCTCATTAAATTCAAGTTATAGCTTCCATTAAAGGCGATATATACTTCTATCTGTATTTTATTTATTTTATTAGTAGCATATAAAACTATGCAATATTTTTCAAATTCCAATTTGAAATTAGTGCCCTTAATCAGCTATGAATGAAGGGAATTTTTCACCTTTTTATAGAGTGTATCGGTTATAAAATTTACTGAAGTATTTCAAGGCATAATAATTAACGGAAATTTTAATAAAATCACGCAAAGCATAAAGTTTAAATCCAGGGTTAAAAATATTATAATCTGATCCTATAATTGATTTTTCGATAATTTCATATTCTTAAAATCAAACAAAATGGTAGCTGAATAAATTTTTAAAATTTTTCAAGAAAACTTTATTTTTATAGTAACTATTGCTTTTCCTAAAATTTGAACGAGAAATTAAATCTTAAGACGTATATTTGAAACGAATTTCAAAACACTATTGTTGGTTTACCTTAAGGAGACATATGACATAAAAATTTTCAAATATTGAAATTTTCAGTTTTGGGCTAAAAAATAAAGTAGCCTGAGGCGATTCCAAAAATATGTAATTTATCCATGTTTAGAAATTTTAAGACCCAAATCTTTCATTAAAAAGTGCCAGCAAGCACTAGCAAGCCCACCACTTGAGAAGGAACAGACGTCTGGTGTGGCAACAACAAAGCCATATCAGCTGTTAGAAAGTATGTTCATAAAGCATTCTTTGTTAGAACCTGTTTTATTAACTTAGAAGAAGTCTTTAGAAGTTTCTCTGACAAAAAACTACTGTCAAATCGCATTCATGGAAGAAGTCAAAACCCACCGCTCAACCGGTATAGTGGTTATCGACGCTGCCGTGTCGAAGAGCCCGTGTTCAAATCTCGGAGAAGGCATTGATGTTTGTAAATGTATAGTGTCAGTGCGGCATGGAAGCACCCGAAATATGCGGCGAGTCGAAAGTTCTCTCGAGAGGTGGATGGTAGGGGAAGAATGGTGGGAGACCTTTGGACCCATCCCCCCTGGGGGTGCTCTCCATCAAAATTGGGGGCGGAGCTGAGCTAAATCGCACTGTCACCTGTAAGGTGCTCAAGGCTGTTGCCAACTTCAGGTGCTCCTAGTGCTGTTATACGTCAGACTAGTGAACAACAACAACTCAAAACCCGAATGAAAGTTTTAATAATTGCATCTGGACACGCATACCAAAAACTGTTTTTGTGAAAGTCATCACATTAAAATTATGTTTATTAGATGCGGTCATATATTTTAATGATAGTGTAAAAAGTCGCAATAAATAATGGAATTATTGGGAATACAACGAGGATTTTATACGGTAAAGTTTTTGCGAAAATAGATTGCGATAGAATTCGTGAGGCCCATCTCGCTTACCAAAAGCTTTCTAAAATGGCTAGAAAAAAACTTAAGTTAATAAAACAAAAATAACTAAATGCCAGTTCAAGATGGCTAAGTTGCAGGAAAATGTTAAAATGTTTTTTTTTTATAAATTATTAGTGCTTAAATTGTTTTTTCAGCTTTTCTCAAAACGTGTTTTTTTTTAACTTTCGGTACACTTTTCTTGAAAACTATTCAGCCTAGAAGGTTTAAATTTTCCACAGTTGTTTATCTTAACTATTTCTTTGAAACTAAGCAGGATATAAAATTTATGATCATTAGTTTTGGATATATTAAAAATTTAATAAACCATTTTTAACCATTTTTTTCTATGATTTTCAAAACATTTTATTAATTTATGTTTAATATTTTTTCTTTTTAAGTAAAATGTAAAATACTACTTTTTATTCTTAAATGATATGTTTTCAACCATGTGTTTTATATAATCTACAAGCTGTCTATTTTAAATGAAAAAAAGAATTTAGAATATACTTTTATTTTGAAAAAGTTTTACCGTAATAACCTTTGTCCCTAAATAGTTGCATTTCGCCAGTCGATATATCACATGTCCGCTTAAGGCAACATATTAAGTTTTAATAGCTTAACCTGTGGTATTTCTGTGCAAAAAATAAAGAATTATGGATTAAAAAAGCATGATAAACGATTTTTATATTGTGTTACTTTATTTATATATCATATTTATTTATAAACCGATGTGTTGTAGTATTTAAATGAAACGTTTTAAATGAATTGATGACGTAATCAAATGTCTGAAATCAGTGGTCTCTAGCTGACGACTGGCGAAGACCTTTCAATTACGTACTTTTTGTAAATACAGTGTTTTAAAGGTTTCAAGATTTTAGTTATTTGAAGTCCGAATTTACGTTATTTTAATTTCCATTAAAAGCACATAGAATAACGCACTAGACAATGTGATATAAATCTTATTAAAATATATGAAGACGTAGATTTTATTAACGTTTAGTCTTCAAAAAGTAAATAAGCTCAGAATTGTTGCACTAAGAATAATCCCTTTGTTTGGGAATACATTTATATTTGAACGGATTTTATTTTCACGGTTGAAATTTTAAAAGAACCAGATTGACCGACGAGCATCTACAATCCGTTGATGAAGATAAATTCAAATAATTTCTCTCGAAGGCAAAGAATATTATCAGAATCGAAATGCCACCAAGGGTCAAAGTGTGGTAAGATATAAAGGTGTTTAATTATTTGCATACAGACATATATATTTTTATTTATGCGTTGAAGGAAAATCTAATAATAAGATAGCGTCTCAAAGTTTTGTCCCACGCGACAAATTTTCTCTGAAAACTTAGAAAGTTTTCATAATTTGTTTAGTTCAAATTAAGGTAAATTATTTAATGATTATTTAAACATATTAGAAATATTTGAAATAAATGTCAGTCTAAGAATTAATATTTAGCTCTCCTTGCACTGCAAAGTGTAATCAATAAAAATATCTTTTAGTCAACAAACTATAGATTTCCAAAAGAAAAATATAAATTTCAATTTTTTTCTTCTACAACATTATTTCAATAAATATTTCCTAAACGAAGTTAAATTTAAAAAAAAAAATTATTAATAATTTTTTCAGTTTATTAAAAAAATTAAATTTGATCCGTCAGCTGTTTTCAGATTAATGAATCGGCCCTCATGCAGTTTTGAGACCACTCGCTTAAATTTTGAAATAAGTAGTATTGAAGGCTCTGATTCTTACCAATGTTGCATAGATTATGTTGTAGTTGAACATAATTAAATATATATTGCTAGATCACTGGAGGAAGCTCAAAAAGTAATATTTACTATGAAGTGTGTAAAAACATGTTTAAAATAAAATATGGTAATAATATTAGGGTACAAAAATTCTAATAAAATTTCACGCTTATAAATATAATTCTTCATTAAATATTAACATTATTATTTCGTGAAGATTTCTTTTCGAATACATGTTTCAACGGAGAAAGCTGTCTCTTTGCAAGATGCAGCAAGATTGGCATACACATAATCGAACAAAACATGAAAATTATGTCCACAGATAAAATATGCATTCACTGGTCACAACGAAGTATGAAGCTCTCCTCCATTGTCTGTACACAAATCAAAATAAATACAATGTTATTCCTGTTTCCTTCGACGAATAAGTGATTTATCTTCATTTTCTTTTTACACATTAAAACTTATTTCGATTAATATGGGTCCCTACGTTGAAATGTTGGGAGAAGCGTGGTGAGTCACGTTTTGTAATTTCCTTCTTTTTGCTAGCCTTGGTAGCACAGTTAGAATATCTCATTTATTTGTACAGTATAGCCTCCTTCCGTCATGGTTTCCTCTTAGTTCCCATACATTGAGCTTCACTTTCATGCATGCGGTAATTGTATTTTTTTATTTCAAAGAATTTAACTGAGATTTTCAATAAACTTAAAAGTTTTAAACTGAGTTTTTCTTATAAAACTTTAGCCTTTAATGTCACGGAATTGAATTACCAAACTAATGTTTTTAATAAGAGAAAAAGAAACCTTATAAAATTCGAAAATTTTAGGTTAGAATGAGCTTTATGTTTTTAGCAAATCATATATAGAATATCTAGAGAAAAAGTATACGATTTCATGTTGCATTTTCATTAAAACTATATACAGTAGACGCCACTTAATGTGATCCCGGTTAATGTTATCGAATTGCCGAAGTTCCACCCTTTTCTACGCGAAAACATGGAAAATATATCGATTATTGTGCTCAATAATTTTGTTAACGTTATCAAAATACTAAAGAATAAATTTTTTAAACTGAAGTAAAGTAGCCAAATAGACAGAAAACTCGCCAGATAAGTTTAAAATGCATTATAAAAATTACATAGTTCCAGAAAAATATCCCCAAGAAAGGGTTTAGGTGGCAAAATGTCTTCGTTTCGATTTTGGTCAACCTTTTTAAAATTAGTTTGCGTTAAAGACTTTATGATAAGTTTATTATTGATAAGCTTTCTCATTTTCCTGATTAAAATGCCGTGAAAGTGCCTATTTATATGCTTTTAGTTGTATTTATATTAAATTAATTAAATTTCATATCTATTTTTTCATCATTTAATGTTATCAAAACAGCCGTGGACGAATGTAATCACATTAAACGGCGCCTACTGTAGTTAACAAGGTACCTGATTTTTTAAATAAAATAATATGGCAACTATAAAGATTTTTGGAGTCTGATGATAAATAGTGTTAAATGTCTCGCAGAATGTATCAAGCACTGAAATCAGTGTAAGAATCACTACAAAAGGAGGTAGCTATTTCTTCCTTTTGTGTTTTATGAAATGTTGACTAAAACGGAAAGTCTTTCTCTAAGCTCAAAAAGAACACATTTCTGCGGTTTAACTCTGTGATACAAATTTCATTCTGCAATGTTCAAGTAATATGTCAATTAAACATAAAAATATTTTATTTATCATTAGTTTCTTATGAATACAACATTAAGTTTTAAACTTCTTTGTAGACATGCTATGTAAATAAAACTTAATTTTCAATAGCGTGTTTTGCGCGGTGTCGACTGAACAGAACCGTTATTGGATGCACGAAAGTTACTTTTTGATAACACGATGCCATTTAAGATAAGAAATGGTTCTTTTCGTATATTGTATGGTTCTTGATACAAGGAAAAATTAACAGAGAAAAAAAGCTTTTTAGTTAGCATTTGATGACAAATGCCAAGATGAGTAATATTAAAAGGTGCGCAATAATGTACCGAACAGAAAAATTAACATGGCGTTCTAATGAATATATTTAGTGGACGTAAAAATTAACTTTAATCACTTCAGTCAAATTTAAAAGCTATTACACGGCTCAGACTAAATGTTCTTATCTTTGACGTTAATTGTCAGCTGAAAGACACCAAATTCAAACCACAGATCATGGTCTCATCTGTTAATTGCGACTCCTCTGACGTTTACATGCAAATAATCTGACCGCACAGGAAACCACGACGGGAAGGTCGCGCTCTCTGCAACTTCCCAGACATCCGGTTCGCAGGCCAATCATTGCTTTCATTTAACCCTCTTGACTCTCCTCAATATTGGGCAGAGGAGGGCGGAACTCCTCCCCCCTCCACTTCGTCGAGCCATGATGCGGGGCTCGGCGGAAACTCGGGAAAAGCTAAGTTCCGGGCGCCCCCGCTCAGGTCCGTGGGCTGGGGCACCCCTAAAAGCCGTGGCGGCGGTAGCGCCGATAGATGGCCGTTCTGAGGGTGGTGATAGGCATCTCCGTAGTAGGATGGCGGGTAAGGGCTGTGACTGCCCGCCAGGTAAGGGGGCGTCCCCGGTCCAGGGTAGCCGTGACCCCCGGAACCTAGATAGTTGATTCCATTTGCAGGGGGCGGCGAGGGCCGCATGGAAGAGTCTGTCTCGCCGAGTTGAGAATTACCCATTGGAGTACCATATGGCTCCCGTAGGTCGTCATCTAAAGGAAAAAACAAGGAAGCCTTTTAAATACGAACATAATAAAAAAAATTAAAAAAAAAAAAATTCTTATTATTATTTAATATTTATACGCACTTCAGTAAGGAAGCGAGGCTTTGCCATCATTCGGAATAAGATTCATTCCTTACTTTTATAAATACGTGGGTACTCAAATTATTCTAGCTTGAACACTAAAAATTTTAGCACTGTTGTAGCACCTTCAAATAACTCAAGGAATGGGAAACCTCATGTACAGAAACTCAGTGATAAGTTCCAATTTGGAGAGATTTACTTTTTTGCGAAGATGTTTGAGGAATATGAATTGCTATAACGCTTATAGATAATGATGACGTCACAACAGCTAAGACATTGTTCAGATGTCAAAAATGTTACCTGCTGGGAAATTTTTTTCTTTTGCGAGATTGCTGCCAAACTTTCTTTGTAAAGATATTAATAAACATAATTTACTGTAATAATATCGCATATTTGAGTATTCGTTGAGTAACAGTTAGTATTCCATGTGAGCGTCACGCCACGATCAGCAATAGTAGTGGCCACGAGCGTCACGCCACTATTATTGCTGAAAATTCAACAAAGTACGATTGTCTTTAATCTTGAGAAAGTTTGAGTTTTAATTTTGAGAAAAACATTTTACTTACTTAATGTTTAATAATTAATATAACCTCAAATTAAAGAGACTCGCCTAAACATAAAGAGAAATTATGGAAAATTTTATGTAAACTGGATAAAAATAAGAGTTTTACAGAATCCCGCAGACATAGAAAATGAGACTGTTTTAATAATACCAGTATATTTGTTATTTATATTTCTGAAATGCTTTCACATAAAATGAACGAAAAGAAAAGAAATGGTAGTTGTGATAATTACGAATCTGTTGTAGGCGGCAGAGTTAAACGCGATTTAATATTAGTAGACTTGATTTTGTTAGATATTGTTTTAACTTTGCTAGGTTACAATATATAATTTACTTTTGACGATATTTTCCAAATTGTTCTTTTTTCTGAACGGCTCATTTCGTTGTTTTGTATTTTGTACAGTTAGGAAGGATATTATACGTGCTTGCAGCTTAGCATTTCTACAGCATATAACTTTGTTACTTTGTAATTTTGATTCGAAGCCCGTTTAATATGTTATAAAATTAAAAATGGACTAAATTTTTTTAAATAGTTTTCTGTAACGATTCACATGTTTGCTATAAATTATTTGCTATTGACAGTAGATATCCTGAAAGACCAGACCCTTCTTCGTTAGTAGTGCCCATTACTAACGAAAAGACTTTTGGAAAACTCTGCGTAAGCGTTTAAAAGATTAAAATAAAGAAATACATAAAATTTATATTGATATCTTTCACAAGGGAGATTTCATACAGTGCCCATTACTAATGAAAAGCAAATCTAATAAAATGCCCACAAGACATTTGGAAAATTATACGTAAGAGTTTAAAAGACTAAAATAGATAAATAAAGTTTATATTGACATCTTTCACAGGTGAGATTTTATACAGCCCTTACTACTAATGAAATGCAAATCTAATACAATACAGCCTACTTTTGGAAAATTCAACGTAAGAAAGACTAAAATAAAAAATAAATAAAATGTATATTGACATCTTTCAAAGGCGATATTTTCTGTATAATTAAAAACTTATTAAAGAACTATAGTAATATCAAGCTGTTAAATGTAATAAAAGATGTCATCAGTTTTGATTTCTATATGATTTAATGATGATACAATACATTCAACTTCTGAAATTTTAAAAGCAGTAAATCTAATTTAAGTTTCTAACTTTGAACCAGAGGCTTTCTTCAGAATGGAAGAAATGAACTGCTATCCTATAAAAACATATATTCTTTTTAATTATATAAAAATTAGAAAACATTATAATTAATTAGCATATCCAAAGCAATCATATTTCAGTCCTATTGAAGTGTTACATTTTATTTATGTGTTTTAATTTTATGACTCATTTGCTGTACGAAATGTAAATTATTCTTTTCAGATTTTTGCAATTTTTACAGTAAATGCAAGCTTAGTTTAGTTAGAATAAATATTAGAAGTACTTGTTTAAGCAGAATAAACTCTAGAAGAAGAAAAAGGGATAATATTAAATTTTGTATGATGAATATTCGCATATCTTTTCAAATACTTTGCATAAAGCTAAATGATTATACTAATTGCTACTTGAAAAATGTTTTGAAACAACATTTAAAAACTGAAACATGAGTACCTGAAAGTTTGCAAAGATTGTGATGCTTGTACAAACACAGACAACTGATCTATCTTTTGAGGGACTTCCCAAGAGTCAAAAAGCATTTCACCAAGTATGAGAGAGGGTAGACCCCTTGTTTGCTCAGGAGGAACCTTGAAAAGGAAGCCCTACTCTACTCCCTTTCACTTCCGTAAACTTTAGAAACCCCTCAAAAGCAATAAAATACGAGTGAAAAGGAAGGAGCAAAGAAAAAGTACTTGGGTTGCGAGAAGCCCGAGAGGTTTCGTGACGGCGAGAGCACAACGTTTGTCTCAATTTTCCACGTCTGTCACGTTTACTTCTCATTGGACAACATGCTCGCCTTACATCACATATGTCATCTTTTGAAATAACATACTTTTAGTTTCCTATTTTACCATAAGACTTCTTTACAAAAGATAAGTAATGTTTAGCTGTCATTTATTCACGAGTTTAATCTAAACAATCCGGTAAGTTTAAGTTTAGTGCTCTTACATGATATATAGAGAAATAAGAAATAATTGTTATTAGTACTTAAGAATATTAATTTAATGATATAGAGCAGCGTTTCTCAATATGTGGTTTTCGAAACTTGCCCTATTGGTCCTTTACGATTTCCAAAACAGAAAAAAAAAAAAAAAAAAAAAAAATCGAATTCACTGAGTATACTACATTAAAGCTGACGTCTCATAATCTGGATATTACATGTAGCAATCGTCTATCACATTTTCTCCCATGACTGATATTTTATGAAATTTATTGCCGGTTACCATCTCTACGGTCTTTTCACTCTAGTTTTAGCAAAAAACGGGGGATTTAAAGCACTATGACTGGGGTGCTTCTTACTAGCATGCGTCCAAACAGAACTGCTAAGTAAGAAACAGCAGGCTTATCCATCTCAATAATTTAAGCGTCAATTTTTATTTAATAAGATAAAGATTATCCAGACTCGTATAGTTTTGAATTATTAAAAACAAATGGAACATTTTTTTCTATTACCTTATACTATTACTATTAATATCATTTCTCCTATTAACGTAATTGCATATAATATTAAATGAATTTTAATGAATTGTATTTTAAAAGTATAAGTACACTGGTAATAGCATACGCTAAGAAACTGCTTTCGAAAGTCCGCAGAACATTCTAGTTTATAAAAGTGGTCCTAACTTGAAAAAAGTTCGAGAAACGCTGCATTAGTCACTGACTCGCTGGCTGGAAGCGAATTTCACTATTTCACTCACTGGTTGGGAATTACACTAGACGTGAACTAACAATGCTTCTAACAATAAAAGTGGTTTCCACTTAAGAAAGGTTTAAAAAATGCTGATATAAAGTATGTTTTTAGACCTCTCTTTAAATACTTTGATTTACGCATCTAATATAAATAAAACGAGTTGTGCGCGTGGGCATACTGATAGCCTAGAAAATTGTTGTTGATCATAGTAATTTCTGCCATTTTTCATAAAATTTTTAATTCAGATTTTATTAATAAAAAACTAAAAAGTGAGGGTTATCCTTAGTATTTTAAAGTATCTAAAAATTCAGTAATTAATAAGGATCATAAATCTGGACTGTTAGCTGCGGCTGTGCTCTACATACATTCACAATGAGCTTCAGAAGGTGAAAAATTCAGGTAACATTATTATTGATTTCATCGGAATTCACATATTCTCCCCTTTTCCCTCAAAAGACTGCTATCATTCTTGCATATAGGTTTACTGGCCCGACAGCATCGCTTTACGTCTTTACTGCATATAAAATCCTCACAGAGTACTGAAATGTATCAGTCAGAAGCATAATGACTGGCACTCGTGAATAGGAATGCATTCAGTTTCAGATTCCTATTTATGTAAATGGCCTTTATGTGAATGGCCTTTATGTGATTCCAAAATTCATTTATTATATGAATAAATGAATAATGGTTCCACAAGGTGCATTAAAGGTCTCTTTCTCCAAAAAGCCGCAGATGCTGCTAGAACTAATGTTTCAAAGATTCCAAAACAAGTGCGCCAAAGCTATTTTGGGAACTTCATGATTTATTAAGAATATTCAGGATCTAAATATAAAGTTTACCCTGATCACCAGATTCTTGTTCTCCGTCGTCAAATTTTACAGAAACCACAGTCACCGCTTTAACTTTATTTGTAGGCTAGGAGACTAGAATTCGATGATCGAACAACCGTTTAAACGATCTAGAGCTATCCAAAGCTACAGTAGAAACGAGTAAACAGTTTTATACAAATTTACAAAGCTCTAATTGCAGGCCTCATGGAATCAAATGAAGACATGACAGTAAAAGCCATACATTAGCAGTGCTAATTAACAAATTCTAGTCTCCAGTTTGCGATCTAAAATCTCATGTATATTAAAAGAAAAAAAATTCTAATGCTCTTAATATATAAAATTTACAGTATGTTATTTTAAGCTGAGAGTTAATATAATCTAGAAAGTTTGGTTTAAAAATGAAAGCCCTAATTTCTGTTTCATTGACGCTAGTTAGTATGCTTTATAGATCATTAGGACTAGAACATCTGCGAAAATTCAAAGATGGGCTTTTCTTATAAAATTTTAATGATTTTTTTTATCTAACTAATTTATTACTAGATATTATCCCAATTAATTTATGTGAAAGTTAATATGGCTAGTCTTTAAACTATCATAAAATAATTAATTTTAATCAAAGAGGCTTTCGATTTGCATTTAAGTATGCTTAAATTTGAAGAAAAAGTATAATAAATTTACTTTATATTTCATATTTTTGTAGAGGATAACTAATGTCTTATTACATTTGAAAATTTTATATGAGATGAATGATATTTTATTATATAAGATAATTTTGTAGAAGATAAATAATATTTAAAGTAAAATCATATTGTTAATCCATTTTACTTAAAGGTGGATGTATATTATCCTATAAGAGACACTAGGGAGTCTTTCCTCTTTTTCTTTTCTAAAGCAATTTACAGTTTTTGGTACATGTTAGTTTGAAAATGATGCTATTTTACAATTGTTCGATAAGTAATATTATGTGCTTTTAAAAATATGCATATATAAATATCTTTTAGTTTCTCTTTTCGGTTAAAACAGCAATGATGCCACTTGACGAAAAGTCAATGGTGTGCTTCTAAGTATAAAAAGGAATCCTTTTCTACAAGGTTGGTTCATTAGTTTTATTAATTTATATCTATACGCAAACGTCTATTAGTCAGAAATATTCTGTTTTATTATTTTCCGGCTATTTTAGCATAATTGTTCATAATTTTCACGTAATTTTTTCCTCAATCAGTTTTTTTACTTTTTATTTTTCCTGTTATCTGGATACCCCAAAGCTCCGAAAGAGATTAAACGCCTCTGTGGATAATTTTTCTAAGGAAAACTTTCAACTTCAAATTTTCGAAAAATTGAATATTTTTAGCACAAAGGGGAATTTGCTCAGAAGGGCTATTAATTTCATTTTGCGTCGTCCACTGTAAAATGGCGTTTTACTTTTCACATTGCTGCCACCAAATATTAGATTTAAAGAAATTAAATAATGAAGAAGCTGCATGAAGATATTATATTTATTATATTGTGAAAAAACAACGGTACCTAGAGACATGAAATTTTGAATAAAGTAGTCCTCCACTCGAATATGGGCAATTAGAAACTCAAATTTGGAATTTGTTTTATTATCTATTTCATATTTTGTAAAGCCGACCAGTGGCCGAGCGGTAAAGACGCTGAACACTGGTAGCTCGGTCCGAGGTTCGAATCCCGCGAACGGGCTGGCTGCATGGGTGTTTTCGTGGTTTTCCCCATGTATAACGTGTATACGAGCCAGTTTCCCTTATAAAGGTATCCCTCCCTTTAGGCAGATAGCCCTCGTGTGCTTTGCCATAACTGAATAATCCAATCCAATCCATATTTTGTAAAACTTTTAACGAATGTTTGATTAACAAACTCAACGATTTCAAAGCGAGCATTGGCACCATTGTACGAAAAAGAAAAACAATTTTATCTCTAGCGTGCGAGACTGTATCGGAAATTCTAAACATACGCTCTTTTTAAATATTTTGGGATACTGCTGTTGAATTGAATTTTATGGTTTAAGTGCGAAGAACATGATGTTGAATAAATAAAGGTAACACACGAAACGTTTAAAAAAGAGCCCCTTTGGGTGTAATATAAATTCTGAAAGCTTTCATATTTTTATTTAATAATATCATTTTATTTATTAATTTCATATTTATTATTTTTCTTTAAAATCATCAGTTTATTAAAAACTGGCACTTGAAAGGAAATAATTTAGTAAATTTATTCGATAACTTAGTTTTTGTTTGCTGTATTTAAATAAACTGACTATATTTTCCCATCATTCTTTGCAAACAAACCTACGTACATCCGTAAACTGAAATCACAACCCGTCTGGATAACTGTTTTTTCCCCCTTGTGTCAAACACATATCTAATGTAAAGCACGTGATTAACATTATGCAAATGTTAATTATGTAATGTATGCGAAAATGCAAAATGTTACACTATGTAAGTAGGGGAAAATATTACATTTTATCCTGGAGAATAAAAATTCACACGCAAACAACGACATGTCTTTCATCAACAGACTAACGGAGAGTTTCTAAGTTCTCTCATGTTACTTAAGGTGCTAATTCCATGTTTTATATTACTCTCATGTTACTAATTTCTCTCATATTGTAAAATAAAATTTCCCTTGGGTGGAAAGAGAGTCAACATAATATTACTATTTTGTTTAATACATCTTAACCTTTCGGCTGACTGTGAGATTAACCAGTTTTTTTTTTTCCCAAATACGCGCAATATCTGTCAGTCATAAATTTGTAATGCGAGCTGCGTTCCTTTGCGCCTGTTGAGGTGCGTAACTGGAATGCGAACCGAGCTCGTTGATGATCATCAAAAGGTAGCGAAAAGAAACACTTATTATGTCCAAGCAATGACTCACGGACAAAAAGAGAGCGAAGGGGAAAGAAAAGGCAACAAGTTTATGAGCTACAATAGATAATTTCTTTTCTAGCAAAGATCTTAAGCTACATATACAGGGAACATTTTAGGCTAACCTACATGCCGTACACGTTAAGCTAAATTCATCTAATAATATTTTAGATACGTACATTTATATATAATAGAATGTTAACTTTTACTTTATTTAAATCAAATAAACAATTCAAAATGCATAAATAAATTAAAAGCAAGTTTAATTTCACTTCGTCTAAAAAATGAAAAAAGAGCAAGAAATGCAGATAAATTGAGTTCCAAATAACTGGTATTCGGATAATTGGAGCTCTGCTACGTATAATTTATTCAAGTATTTTTCGATGGTCCCAGCTTCAGTAGCTAGTAAAAACATCTTGGATTCGAATAAATCATATGATTTTTCCTATAGAAGTATATTCGAATCAGTTTAAAACGTTCATTAAAGGACAATCAAAGAGCTTCTCAGATAAGCACACCAATATTTTATTCCATAACCTTCTGAATGAAAACTTCTTTTTACAGTAATTCTTTTGTTATAGATATTGTTTGCAGATATTATCTATCTGTGTTTGGACTCACTCCTGCTGACACTTTTTCTTGTCCTTAATTTTATTACTAAACATTACTTTCTTTGCACTTACACCACATAAAATTTAACAGCAAAATCGCAAATTTTTTAAGAACGGCATATACATAGTAGAGCAATAAGCGTTGCTATACATTTTGATACAATATTAACCGTTGCCATACATTTTTTAGCCCAGAAGAGCTATCATTCTTGAACCTTCCTTTTACGTCGAATCACTTTTGTTGTCCGTTTCACTTTCCTGATAAATAGCTAATGGCGCGAACAGCCGCTTAAAATAGTTAATATAAGAAAAAGATTATTAACGTTATCAAAAGTTTTAATAAATCCAGCTAAAATCATTTCACATCACAGGTCCAGCTGGTAATTAATAACAAAGATAAAGAACTGCGTTTGTTGCTTTGCAGTGGCTTAGTTTATTAATCAGTAAAAGCAGATTAAATTTTTAAAATAAACATTGCTCTTCGCCAAGTGGCAAGAAACTGCCGCATGCAAATTAAAAACATTTTATACCAGCTTTATAATTCTTGATAAAGTATTGAACGTTGCCATACGTATTTTTTACATTTGCTGTATTATTTCTTTAAAAGTAATACATAGATAACATTTGGGAGCAACATCTTTTTATTTGGGTTTACATATACTTTTTTAATTGAGTCTATTATTTTTTAAAATAATACACGATGACAATATTTGATGGCAACATTTGAAAAGTGGTACGGACGAAAAAGGAAGGTTTTGAGACTAATATCACCTCTGGTGCAAAAGTCTGAAAAATAGTGCAGTATACAATCATCTGCTTACCTCTGTAATCTTTGTGTGACCGTAGATCAATTTCTAACGAGTCGTCACCACCCCTGTCAATGCTACTGTCCGGTGAGGTAGGGGGTCCACTACCGGACGCAACGGCTTGTTTGAGGTGGCCATTTCGGAAGTATTCTCCCCAGCGACTCTTGCCTGCGTCTTTCTTGAGGCGTTTCTCTTTGGCTCTTCTGTTCTGGAACCAGACCTGGACGACTCGCATGTCCAGCCCCGTATCCTGGCTGAGCTGCTCTCGGACGTGTCGGGCTGGTTTCGGACTATTGTTGTAGGCGGTTTTCAGTGTCTCCAACTGTTTCGCGGTGATGGTGGTCCGCGGCCGCTTCGTTGTCCCCTCTGTTCTGGAACATGCAAAGTCGTTAACGACGGTCACAAGTCAGCCCCATAAATTGTTGTTACACATTCACTCGCTATACACCTTACAAAAATTAATTGACAAACTGAAAAATAATTAAGTTCCTAATAACTCATTTACCAGCTAAATTTTCATGCAAAGTATATGTTAGAAGTTCGCAAACTTGTATGGCATTTTTGTTGAAATAAAAATTAATCATATTTATTATTTACTGACATCAGAAGCTATGCTGCTAAATGTCTTGGCTACAGTTTTTAACAACATAGTTTGCTGTCATATATATCAATCAATTTTTCTTAATAAGAAATGCATGTAATTCTTAGAAGATAAAAATATGGTATTCTCTCAGTTCTGACAAAGTTATAATTTTACTTGGATAGTCAGCAAATTTCTATCATCATTCAAATAATACAGCGGTTTTAGAGCACTCGAAAGTTTTTCGAGTAATAAAAAGTTTTTTAGAGTAATAAAAAGTTTTCAGTATATAGCAATAGGAGAACACTATAAATTGTAGCATTTTCCGCAGTAAGTATGGCATGGGTTTAGTGCATTCTAAATCCTTCCTTTTCCTTTTTACTCTGGCATAAAATGGTTGAAACGATCTGATTCCCAGTAATTTTGAGTGTAGACTGAAATACATCTATATGAACAGACCGAAATTATAGCTGTTATACTCGTATTTGTACGCATATAAAAATAGTTTGCACACTGCAATACTGATAATAGTGCTTACGGAATTTTAAAAGAAAATAAGTAATTGAATATAGAAATTGATACTTCTGCCATACTTCAGAAAGATTTTCAATTACATTATTATTTTAATCATGAAATCCTCCAGAAATATTCTTGTATTAATTACTGAACACATAAACCATGCAATGGAAAGATTTTCAGTTACATTAATATTGACTTATGAAACCATCCAGGAAATATTACTGTATCGGTTTCTTAACATATAAAACCAAAGAACGGAATACGAAAATATTGCGGTTCGTTGTAGAAGATGTTAAATGTCTGGAAGGAAAAGGAATTGAGCAAAATACCGCAGGATATTGAGATAATAACGCTACATAAAAGTGATAACCTCTAGTTGCCTGCAGTTTCCCGAACTCAGAGAAGAGCTCGAAAAACCCAATAGTCCTTACGTACGAAATAATCTGAAGAAGTCAGAAAAAAATCCTCAGTCTGATAATAAAATGGAATAAAACTGTACAACGAATAAGATCGTGCCAAATTATAAACAAGCAATCCAAAATCAAATTTCGATTGAATAAGAACGTTATAAATACCGAACATGAATTAAATACCTTAGGTTTTTCGGAACTTTTAGATATTTCTTTATCCCAAAGCTTTTTTTATTCAAGTATGGGAATGGCACGTCACATCACGGTCAGATGTTTTCCTCAAATTCTGCTTTCGTTCTACTAATATAAAAATTATCATCCAAATGATGTTTTGGATTAAGCTAGAGGGTATTCCCTAAGCAAATTCCCATAGGCATCTTCCAATCTAAAAAATGTGGTCACTTCTGACTATTAAAGAATTTCCATTTTCAAATACTATTTCTGGCTATCTCTCAACGCAACGCAACTGGTACCTCTTCAGCTACTTTGATATTCTGCAGTATAAGAACACTGTCGACAGATAGAAGAAGTTCCGTCAAAATTGAATTAAATTTTAATACTAAACTTCCAGCGTCTATGAGCCTCCATACTACACCATATTACAAAAAGCAAACACATAACAACAAAGAGCCAGCCTTTACATTTAAAAACTTCTCTCCTTTAAAAAAGCTCTGAAATTGACTAATTCCTGCTCATTCTTCGAAGGAAAGCAAAAAAATAAAAATTTAAGGATGAATAGTATCGATTTAGAGCAATTAAAAAACCATAGTATTTTTAACACATTATAAAATTACAGTCTAAGCACAAGTTATTCCCTTTACAATTTTAATCGTATCAGTACAGTTTCTGATATCTCAGACGTTTTCTATTATCCACAGGTCTTGAATGTTTGCTGAAATCACTTGACAGTATGAAAATGTTTCCTAAAACTTAATAAGTTTAAATTACTAAGTAAATGCAATGAAGTCTAAATTGAAAGAACGTATTTCATTGAGTTCTTTACTTCAAGTTTCAAATTCAGTTTTTAATTTCTATTACATATACCCACAAACTAAGCTACAGTTCTTAATAAAATAATTAAAAAAACATCGTGCATAGCTAACATTGCAGAGTAGAAAAAAACTTACGAAAGTTTTAAATATTCTTGGCGATTTAAAAATAATTGCTGTTCTTGGATTATGCTTCTTTTACGAATAAGACAACAAAGACAGGAAATTTGTTTCACTAGAAAATGCTTGCTATAATAAGTACCATTTACCTGAGAGAACTTTAATGTCACTAATAATTTGCGGATCTTGAGGAAACACACGTTAATCTAAAAACACTTTAAGCCGAGACTTCTGAAGAAGCTTATTGTATCAGCAAATAAAAAGACCTAGGATTCACATACATGGAAAAGAAATTTCCTACGTGGGTTACTCTAAATTCAAAGAAAGTATTTTTGCGGGACCGCAAGCTTAAAGTTGTTTCTAGGTTGGAAACTTGATGAAAGGTAGTTAAAAAAGTTGCAAAATAGATTTTCAAGAATGTTTACAAATATTTCCTAGCAAAATATGAGGCCTAATATCTATTGAAAAATCTCTTAAAGTCGTTGGAAACCACGAGATGTAATATAATACTTTCAAAACTTCACAGACCATTTTCTCTTAATTTCAAACAGGGCACGATGTACATTTCTGATACTGAATTATAGCATATGATACTCAAAGGAAATCCAACATGCATATTGATTTCTGAGCTTTTAATAATATTCGGAGATCATAACAGATGTTCTTTGGGCCAAGCACAGAAGAAAGTCGTATGATTTAAATGCTTTTTTTCAAGTAAATTTATATATATTCATACAAAATTGCATTGTGTATCACAATAAATTCTTTGCATGATAAGGAAAATTTCAATTACATGTTTGAATCCAGCAACAAAATTACTGCCATATTCGTATATTGTGATTCATGTAACAAAGAAAAAATGAAAGTGAGTATCTTAGCGTAATTTTACTACAGTTTTATTCTTTTGTTTTTATCTACTGTTATTCTTTGTGTGGCATTATAATTTTAATTATATATTTGGAAGACACTATTCTAACAATCCGCCTGATACCTTGAATATTATTACTAAGAGGGTTACTGACATATCAGAGTCCTTACCGCGTGCTTTAGCTGCTTCGTAGTCTGCTTTGCAGACGAGTTTGTTGTCCTCCATAAGGTAGAACTCATCTCCCGTGTTAAGTTGCCTTTTGCACAGGATACAGGCGAAACAATGTAAATGGTACACATTATCCTGCGCCCTTCGCACTACCTGAGTTGGGGGGATGCCCTGCTCGCAGCCTGCACACTTCGTTCCAAACCTTCTGCAAAAGAAAGCAATTAATTAAAGAAATTTATAAAAGTATTCATCTGAGAAAAGCATAAAACATCAAAAATAAGTAGTAATTATTTCGTAAATTTTTTCGGAAATTAGAGAGCATTCCAAATCGAGAATATATTGCTTTAATTTCAAATTTGATTAGACGATTCTTCCTGAAACTGCGGAGTGTTTTCCCCCTTGAATTTGGTCTGAGATAACCAGCAAAACTTGTAGAAAATTTTACTTATAGAATTCAGATAGATAAAGCAGTGATTTTTCTTTTAATCAGGTATTAGAAGTTTTGTATTGGCATACAATAGGAAACATTTTGAAAAGAAAAGTGAAGGAACTGGAATAAATTTAAATGCAAATGGATTGGTATTATTCTATTAAGATCTACACAATAAATAGGAAGAGTATTTCCAGTGCTTTGAAACATTTTTCTAATCTCCCCATTTGAATTCACTAAAGAGGAATGGCCAACCAGCACTTCAATAGGAGCCATTTGTTACAGCTCAGGAATATTCAAGAGCCGCAGCTTGAATTTCTAAGAGTCACAAACTGACATTTACAGTGGCTAACATTTGTTTTCGGACACTTGTGCTTTTTAGATTTATTTGAAAATATCAGTTACTAAATATTAACAAAATAACTTTAATTTTTTTAATATATACTATTGATCATCTAGTTAAAACCTGCTTGTTTTAAAACAAGTTATTCGAAATGTTTTGGTAAATAAATAACTAAGTAAACATTCCAAAAATTCTGAAAATAAATTCGTTTAAGTATTGGAACTCAAAAAAGTTTATATTTGATAAAAACATGAAAATAACGAAACATTCATTATTTCCTAGGATATCCTTTAGCTAAAATGGCACTTTTCATACACTTTGGCATGGATTCAACTAACGTTTTCGTGTAAGAATGTTACATTCTTATGTAAGAATGACTTTTAGTAGAAATTTCGAAGACATATCATGTTTTCTTATTCTTTTCTACAATTTATTCCTTGCTTGTTCGATAGGATTTACGTTATTTTCGGGGAATATTTAAGATTTTTTTTTTAAATTTCAGGGCAATTTTTTTTAATAACCGCATTTAGGGCTGTACGTTTAGAATCGTTATCGGTTTGCATTATTTATACATTTATATTAATCCATATTATTTTCCGTAAGCACTAAATTTCTATTTCCAAAGGCAGTGAAATATCACTAAACCATTATGTGTCTACCCCCTCCCCGCTTAATATAAACGTGCTTAATAGTATGTAATGAGTTCCTCGAATTCAGATCATAATTAGGCTTTTGCCATACATTAATTTTTCTATCTGACCTAAATATTTTGAAATTTGACTTTTCTGTAGATATAACATTGTTCCAATAAGCTAAAACTTCTTTCGATAGATTTCGTGACAGCTAGGCTTATTTTTCTTGTTTACTCGTTGATAAAGAATTTTCTTCCTGCTGATCGCTCACTGCATCCATATACCCTTAATAATGCTTCTAGAAGTTTTAGATTGTGTGTGTGTGTGTGTGTGATTATGGCAAAGCCTCGAGGGCTATCTGCCTAAGAGGAGGGATGCCTTCGTGGAGGACTTTCAAAGGGAAACTGGCTCGTATACACGTTACACATGGGGAAAACCACGAAAACGCCCATGCAGCCAGCCCGTTCGCGGGATTCGAACCTCGGACCGAACTACCAGTGTTCAGCGACTTTACCGCTCGGCCGCTGGTGGGCCTAGGTTAATTGGAAGCAGGCAAGATGAAAAATTAGCAGCGCCAAATTGAACCGTGGACCTCTCAATTACGCGCTGAGCGTGCAGACCACTACACCATGAAGGCTCGCTAAGAAGGCGGGAGAAATACCTTATAACCTCATAAAATTTTCCTAGCGCCTGTGAGAAACACAGCGAATGTCATGAAGAAGTATGAATACTCAAATCACGGAAAACTTTCGTGCGCTTATATTCCTTCCATAATCACAGCTCCACAGCCATGCATGTGTACGCTTATGTATTCGACTGTGAATATTTGCATAAATCTTTGGTGGCATAATTAATACTTTTGGCTCAATACGTTTTGTAAAAATAAACATAATTTGCAAATTCTTTTAATTTTGGATACAAATGTATTTTAAATCGTCCTTTACGCAAAAGAGTAGCAGCTCGAGTACAAATTTTACAATATTTATAGTACTTTTTTAAAAGGGTATGCATCATTTAAGCTAAAGTTATTAGCATGGAAAGAATTACTAATGTATATACTAAATAAATAATAAGAGTAAACCTTAGAATTTCCTATCGAATTTTTATATGGAGTTTTCGCAATGAAAAGAATATAAAGAATGATGTCTTGAAATTTTTCTAGGTGCAACGAGATGGTTATTTCAATTATGAACAAACATTTATATCTGTGCTTTACTAAGCCTATATATTGCTACGAATTTTGTATTTAGTTCGATATTTTTAGCAGAATTATAATTAAAATTGTTTTATTTCCACGTGCAATGCAGCACGTGATAAATTTTAAGAGAAATCTACGCCAAAAAAGTAAAAATATAAGAGCATTAGCATTTAACATTGATTAAATGGACATCTCTTTTATTTTGTATTGAAATCGAATGTACTTGATGACTGTGTTAGCTGTAACCGTAATTCCATCCTCTTGTTGGTTTCCAGAAATCTCGAGAAGCAAAGAAATAACTAGAATTCTCTCGCGACCGACAAAAGGCCGTAGAGAGACAGCTCAGTTGTTTAGTTAGCTACTCTTGTTAATGTTGATCATATTAGCTTTCTCTGTGCTGTAGATATTGCGTTCTATTTAACGTTTTAGTAATTTGAAGGATAATTACTGATTATTATTGCGTGATATTGTGAACACTGTACACATATTTCTGAGAAAAATTCTAGCGTTCTGTTATATTTCTTTTAATAAGAATAAATTTTATTAACCTTTTATCGGAATTGTGCATTAAATCTATTTCGAAACCGTACGCACACAACAAATATATATATATATCAATTATTCTCAAAAATTTTCAATTTAAAATTAATCAAGCAATATTTGATATAAAAGTATTATAGAATTAAATACAGTAAAACACTTAAGATAACTATTCGTTTTTAGACCTCAAATTTAGTAATTAAAGAACTGTTATGTTTTAAAAAATATTGTGCTTCATTAAATGTTTTATATGCTCTCAGTTCAGATTAATGTTTTTTTTTTTTTTTTTCCTAGAAATTTTTCAAATATGGATGTACTAAGTTAAGCATTTTGAAAGGTAGTGCTGAATGTTTTTTATTGCTCATAATTCACACAATTAATACAGTAGTAGCTATAAATCAGATTATAGCTACTGTGTTTAATTATATATTAGAATCTTAATACAAAACAACCTCTTAAACACGCATAAAAAAATTAAGCAGATGTATGAAACAGATGAAAATAACAGCTATTAACGTTGAAGTACACATGCATTCTTGGGCTACGAGATTAGGATCGCCAGTTATCAACTTTCATTTCTAACAGCTGTAGCGAATAGTTTATCCAACAGATGGCAGTATCTGACAAGCTCCTTTGGTAATTGTCAATGCGCATGCGCAAGTGGAGTGAAAAAAAGAAGTATGTTATGAGGAGAATGAGCTTTCGTTAATAATGTTGCTGCGCGTTTTCGCTGTGTAAATAAAAGTATATTTTTATATCATAGATGTTCTTTACTCTCTAATGCGAAGCACTAGGTTAGTGCACGAATCTCTTCTGATTCAGAAACCATTTTCAAACCGTGGATCACCACAATAAAAAGTGGCGTCCGTCTAACAGGACGCATTAGTTAGGTAAAGGACACTTTTGATGGTTTAACAGCAGAAATGGAAGCCTTGAAAGTAAGAAGAATACCACTGCGTGCAGCCTTCACGAAAGCATATAATAGCCTACATGGACATTTGAATGAGTCAGAATTGAACAGTGATGTTCTATTATCGTCCCTGGAAATCCTGGAAGATAAAGGAATTCGACTACAACAGTTGGATGAAGAAATATTGGATCTCCTATCAAAATCGAAAGAAGTCTCGCAAGAAGAATATACTAAAGAATTTGAGTCATGTGAGACTTACAAGGAGAAATTAATAGCAGCCAGGATGAAAGTGAAGCAAATCACTGTGAAACTAGAGAAAAATTTGCTGACTCATGCATCGGTAAATGAAACCAGAACTGTTGATTCAAGAACAACGGCAACGAATTTGAAGCTTCCGAAAATAAATTTGATTGAATTTACAGGTGATCCACGACAATGGTTGAATTTCTGGAATACCTTTAGTAAGATACACGAAGATCCAGTGCTAGATGATCATTTGAAATTCGTATATCTGATCCAGGCTACTGCTGCCAAATCGAAAGCACGGGAAATAGTGCAGAGTTTCCCGACAACTAAAGAAAATTATCCGAAAGTCATCGAACATTTAAAGAATCGTTTTGGACGTGAAGATATTCTTATACAAGTGTACGTTCGGGATTTATTGAATCTTGTGTTGATAAATAATAATGCAACCAAAAAGGACTTTGCGCTATCATCGTTGTACGACAGTTTAGAAACAAAACTGCGTGCTCTGGAATCTCTCGGTGTGACTGAAGATAAATACGCTAGTGTTATTTTTCCGTTAGTTGAATCTTGCCTGCCCCCTGACATCTTACGCGTGTGGGAGAGGGAACGGGAGAGCTCGTCACAACAAGGTAAGAGCGATCTTGAATCTATTCTTCTGTTTTTGAAAAATGAAGTGATATCTGAAGAGAGAATTAAATTAGCGCGTTTTTTCTTTTGATAAAAGTAGAAAATCTAAAAGTTACATTAATGATGAGTCTAATATTCCTACTTGTAATGATTTGTATACAGGAGACAAATTTAAAGAAAATGCTCCTATTAAGAAAGTTGAGGAATCGTGTTTATTTTGTGATAAGCCACATTTAACAGAAAAATGTTTTAAAGCTAGTACGCTTACATATCAGGATA